TGGGGTTTGGGATTGTGGCAAAAAATATGGAGTTTTGGGATTGTGGTGGAAAATACGGAGCGTTGGGATTGGAGTGAAAAATATGGAGTGTTTGGATTAGAGTGAAAAATATGGAGTATTGGGATTGCAGTGAAAAGTAGGAAGCATTGGGGTTGTGTTGAAAAACATGGACTATTGGGATTGTGGCGAAAAATATGGAGTGGTGGGATTGCAGGGAAAATATATATATGTATTTATTTATATATAAATATTTCTATATTTATATATTTTTATATATATATCACAGTGAAAAATATGGAATGTTGGGTTGTGGTGAAAAATATGGAGTATTGGGATTGGAGTGAAAAATGTAGAGTATTGGGATTGCAGGGAAAATATGGAATATTGGGATTGTGGTGAAAAATATGGAGTGGTGCGATTGCAGGGAAGATATATATAAATATTTATTAATGTATTTATATATATATTTATATAAAAATATATTTATGTGTATATACGTATATAATATTTGTTTTTATATATTCATATATTTATACATATGTATATAATAGATATTTTCATATATTATTTGTGTGAGCTCTTAAGCTCTGGAGAAGTTCCCCCGAGCGCTCCACCGGTTTGGTCGGAGAAATCCCAGAGATCTGCCCCCTCCTCCCTCCTCCAGCCCTCGGGTAACGCTCTTTTCCGGTGCTTTGCTCAGATCAGGTGGACGAAAACAGCGGGAAGTGCCTCGGACAGATTCCAAGACTCGAGCGTGTTCAACGAGACCCTTCGGATCTCCAACATCCAGAGGCACCAGGGGGGACGGTACTACTGCAAGGCCGAGAACGGCCTCGGCTCTCCCGCCATCAAATCCATCCGGGTGGACGTCTACTGTGAGTAAAACTTGGGAATTCTCCATTCCTTGGGTTATTTGGTGTTTTGCTCAACTTCTGGTGTCCCGGTGTTGGTGTCCCAGTGTTGGTGTCCCAGTTCGAGCTGCTCTGGAGGAGTCCAGTTTTGGGCGGTTTTAGGGTGGATTCTCGGCGTTTTTTGGGGATATTTGTGATGGGAAGGCTTGGGGAGTTCCACGAGGCTGCTCCTGCAGGGAAGTGGCTTTAAATAAATCACAATAAATCGCAATATATCGATAAGACAAATGAAACTCGGGTGCGACTCAACCTGCTTGGAAGTCGGAGGAAGATTTGCCGATGCAATGTTGGGTTGTGGTGAAAAACGTGGAGGATTGGGATCACAGCGGAAAGTATGGAATATTGGGATCATAGTGGAAAATATAGATTGTGGTGAAAAGTAGGAAGTATTGGGATTGCGTTGAAAAATATGGAGTATTGGGACGGTGGTGAAAAATATGAGTTATTGGGTTGCAGTGAAAAATGTGGAGTATTGG